AATTACACTGTATGTTACGGAAATGATTTCCAACAGGTTGCAGACTTTCATCAACAAATTCCTTCTCTGGTTCCATAATGAAGATCAAATGGCCAGAAAGAATATGTAACAAGAAACTATGGGAACAAATCAGCCAAGAGCCGACCGCTCAACAAATATGTAGGAGGAAGTGGAGGTGGATCTGGCATACATTTAGGAATGAGGCTGCTGAATGACATCGCACGCCAGGCCCTCGAGTGGAATCCCAATGGGAGGCGACGAGTAGGTCTTCAGTGCGAGGGTAACATGGAGGAGATTGTGTAAGGAAGAGATGAGTCTGTCTGTCTGTCTGTCTGGATTCAACATAGAACTTTGCACAAATGTGCGGAAGTTCAAGTCGCCACATTCCGTGTAGCACGCGAAGCAAGAGAAGAAAGTACAAGAAAAGCATAATAGAAACAGTGAGCAGAGGTGTGAGACAAAGGAGTAATAAGGAAATACAAAACAGTTTCATTGGTGGAGATCATAAGCCAAGGTTTGTTCTTGGCATTACTGCTCTGCCCCAAGTCCAGCAATGAGTACGGCATACCGTTCTGGCCCAAAGAGGGTGAAAGGAAGAGATGAGAGAGTTTGGTCAATCATGGACACAGATAAATATGACGGCAGAAAACAGAACAAAGTGGAGATGTGTTGTTGAAGCCCTATGTTCCACTTAAAACGCAAGGGAATAATAATATAATATATCTGTTTCCACTGATTTTGCACTTATACGAGCTGTACATGAGTTGATGTTCATCATTTAGCTGAGTGGAACAGTGCGGTCTCAGAAACGTTGGAATGAAGATGTATTCTGCTGACAAACAATGAGTATAGAAATGTTTGACTGTTTATATACAAAGAGACAAGATCCGTACAAATGGTTGTCAGGATATCAGTATAATGATGGAATCTAAGAGGACCTAGATTTCACCTAAAGCTCATATTCAGAGCTTTCAAAGTAGATTTTAAGTAAAGATGCATATTTGAAGAGTATAGAAGTAGATGAATATCAGATGCCTATAGGGAATTCTTAGTTTATATAGAAATGTAAGATCTGATAGTCAGTTGGTAGGGAGATTCTAAAATATAATAACTCAGTTGTGGAACACGTCTTATACTTGACATTCTTTTGATGATCAATGACTTTTTATTAATATGAGTACTATTCATGACGAATCGGTCCTATAAATGATATATAATGGTACATAGGATAAATAAATATTTCGGTAATTATCAACAGTCTATCAATCTATTAACATTATCACCATAAAGACATATCACCTATTAAGAATAAGTGGGTTCAATCATAGATTAATACTTGTGTATTGAGTGTGAGTGAAGTTAAACGGTGTTAATTCCTTTCCTACCTGTTCATTCTCAATCTTTTCTTTGTTCAACATTATACTACTTGCCATTAGTAAGTAGTATGATGTTTATATGTTAACTTATTACAATGACATTTGCTTACAACTGCAGTTAAATTACTTGTTCTATTATCATTCTATTAATGTATAGTTCTTATTTTTCTTCTCCTTAAACATTATTTGCTGCATTTACCCTATAGTGTATGCTCTACTATTGAAAGTTGTTTGTTCATATTTGTTTATTCTTTGCTTGGCATTCGCGGGCCGTTTGAACCGACACGTTGTAAGGCATGGTAAGTTCGGCGGTTTTCTAATGTTCAAACTATGCTTGTCTACTTTCAGGTTGGCTGCGAAGTATGCAGGGATTGGTTACCCAAGACGAGGCAACGGATGACCAATAGGAGTGCCCTTCCCTCTTATCTAATTGTATTGCGATTGGTTGTAAATATAATACTTGACCTTGAGTCTTCGTTCTTACTAGCACGCAACACTTGTGTGATCACACTGCTAACGTGCGCTTTGCTCTCTGTTTCAGATCATTGCTTGACGAGTGGGATTACATAAATGGCGAGCCTGCCAACGAAAAAACTTTCTTCTTCCAAGTCTCGACCCAATGAGGCTTCCAAGAACACTTCTCCTGTCAAACAGACAGCATCCAACGAGGTGGATCAATTAGCTGAAGTGAGGGCTCCAGCTTTTCAGTCAAATCAGCCTGCTTCGCGATATGTCCATCCCTTGCCGCATACACTGGAGGTGGGTGATGATTTCGAGCTGTGGTCGGACAAGGTGTGCCGATACATTGATCTGATGAACGTGCCTCACCCGAACGCATTCGTCATCGATTCTGTTGGACGGTCCTTGGAAATGTACACAATTGGTTTGGATTACGTGCATATGCCCTTGACCACCCTGTTGAGTACTCTAAGAGCACGTATAGTGCCACCAATACCTCCCATTGAAGCGCTGAAAAGATTCAGCGAGTGCAACCAGAGACAAGGTGAATCTATCAACCAGTTCACCTTACGTCTCCGCAAGCTTGCGCGTCAAGCTATGCAGGACAAGACATATTCAGAGGTTGAAAACGCTATATATTCCAAGTTCTTGCAGGGTGTCGACGTCCGTTACAGGAAGGACTTCAACTTGCACACTCCAGCATCCATGGCAGAAGCGGAAGCTAGGGCACGCCTAGTGGAAAGCCTGGAAGAGCCAGGAACCACATGCCCACAAGTAAACGCAATGGGATATCAGCACACAACAACAAAGCATGCACAGAATCCTACACCACCGTGGAAAGGACGCCCACAGTCGCAATCCACTTCAAGAAACGATTGCTACTACTGCAGGCGGTTTGGTAAGCTTGCTAGGAGTTGTGGTCACAATGCAGGTGAGTCACATGTCGATATGAATTGTGTGCCTACTGTAAACCTAATCGGTGTCACCTCCTCCCCGAAAGTTGTAGGTTATATAGGTGGAAAAAAGTGTGTTATGTTAGTTGACTCAGGAGCAACTTGTTCTGTCATACATTCCTCATGTGTTCCAGAGACGTTTAGGCCAACAATAGGGACTCACAATTTGCGGCTTACGACAGCCAATGGAGATTGCATGCAATCCCAGGGACTGGTCCTGCTGCCACTTAAATTGGGAACACTGTCACTTCAACACAATTTCATCATCTCTACCCGGGTGCCGTGGCAGGTAATCTTGGGAGTCGACCTCCTGGAAAAGCTGTCCGGAATAATAGATTGTAGTCAGAGGACTCTTATACTGAAGGACTGTTCCATCCCATTTATTGTAGGGAACGACAAAGAGCACGGCACTTTTGGCGTGCAGGGAGATGCTAAGAATGAGAAACAGCGAATGCTGACGACTATAGAACCCCTACCATCGGAAACGGCTGCCAACTTTAATAAAATGCTAGACAAATATGAGGACTGTTTTGACTGGGATGGAAAAAGCCCGGGAAGAACAAAACTGGTCCAACATCACATAGAAACGGGTAACGCCCCACCTTGTAGACAACCTGCACGGCGAGTACCTGCACATTACCAGAAGGAGCTTAACAGGTTAGTTGATGAACTGTTAGAGAAAAATGTCATCAAACCATCCGTATCTCCATGGGCTTCACCGGTAGTTTTAGTTAAGAAATCGAATGGGACACTCCGGTTATGTGTAGATTATCGTAAGTTGAACCTGTTAACTAGACGAGACTGCTTTCCCCTTCCACGCATAGACGACACTTTTGATGCCTTAGAGGGTCGAATTGGTTTACCACTCTAGATCTGGCATCGGGATATTGGCAGGTTGAAGTACACCCAGATGACAGGCAAAAGACAGCATTCATTGTACAAGCAGGCCTGTATGAGTTTGAAACAATGCCGTTTGGGTTAGTCAATGCCCCAGCAACATTCCAACGCCTCATGCAAACGGTCTTGAGTGATTGCATACCAGGTAAGTGTTTGGTATATCTAGATGATGTTATCATACATAGTAAGACGTTGACCGAACATTTAAGTGATATTTCCGAAGTATTAGAACGGATGCAGACCGTTGGGTTAAAACTGAACCCATCGAAATGTCAATTCTTCAGGAAAGAAGTGTGTTTCTTAGGTCACATTGTTTCAGCCGAAGGCATTAAATGTGATCCAGCAAAAGTTCAGGAAGTTAAAGACTGGCCGCTCCCAAACTCAGCCCCCGAGTTACATAGTTTTTTAGGGTTAGCCTCGTATTATCGACGTTTTGTACTTAACTTCTCTTTCCTTGCAGCTCCTCTATTCGACATTCTTAAGAAGAAAGACTACAATTGGACAGCATCAGCTACGGAAGCCTTCGAAAGACTTAAAAACTGTTTATGTAGCCCCCCTATCCTAGCGTATCCCAATGTTTCTGACCAGGCAGGTCCATTCATCCTAGATACAGATGCTAGCGACTCTGGTATCGGGGCAGTTTTGTCTCAAAAAGACGCAGATGGAGTAGAAAAGGTGATAGCCTATGCAAGTCGAGCACTCAACAAGAGTGAGAAGAATTACTGCACCACGCGGAAAGAAATGCTGGCACTGGTCAATTTTGTTAAACACTTTAGGGCATATCTCCTCGGTAGACATTTCATTGTACGCACTGATCACAAAGCCCTTAGCTGGCTACATAACTTCAAAGAAGCTGAGGGTCAGATTGCCAGATGGCAAGAACACCTACAAGAGTATGACTTCGAATGCATGCATAGACCGGGTAAGAATCATGGAAATGCAGATGCATTGTCAAGAAAACCTCTTAGGTATCACGGTGACTGCCCATCATGCACCGAAGCACAAGTTTCGCTGCTCCAACTAGAGGCTCATACTTCATATAGTTGGCCTGAACTTCAGTCTTCAGACCCTGAACTGGCCTTGATTTACGAACGTGTTCGAAATGGAGGCGAACGACCGACAACCCAGGAAATAAGTAAGCTTGGATGGGAAACCCGGTGTTTATGGTCTCTGTGGGATAATCTGAAAATTGTCGATGACATCCTCTACTACCAACATGGACCCACTTATACTCGTCGCGTTGTGGCTCCACAGTCGGCACTACCCACAGTACTATTGTCATTACACCAGCAGTTAGGCCACGCGGGCTCAGGGAAAATGATTGAAGCGGCTAAAAGACGTTATTGGTGGCCTCACCAGAGGAAAGACATCATAGATTTCTGTGACTCCTGCGAGGTATGCCAAACTATTAAGGCTCCGCACAAATATAATAAGGCACCCTTAGAACCCATTATAACTGGCCATCCGAATGACTTAGTACAAATAGACTTGGTTGGACCTCTCCCAGTAACTTCCAGAAATAATAACTATATTTTAGTCATGGTAGACCATTTTACCAAATGGTGCGAGGCTATTGCGATCCCACAGATTGATGCTGTAACCATCGCAGAGTCAATTTTTGACCACTGGGTCAGCCGTTGGGGGGCACCACTTCAACTGCATTCAGATCGAGGATCCAACTTTGAAAGTATCGTTGTCAGCGAACTCTGTCGTATAATGGGTATCCGGAAGACACGCACTACCGCGTACCACCCACAGGGAAATGGCTTGGTTGAACGCACCAATCGGACACTTAAATCCCTCTTGCAGGCATTTGTAGATCAAAACAACCCCAGGGAATGGGACCGATCACTCTCACAGTGCTTAATGGCATACAGAGCAAGCATTCACAAAGCTACGCGTCAAACGCCTCATTATATGGTCACTGGAAGAGAACTCCGGTTGCCAATCGATCTGACTTCAAACACACTAGGAGAGGATACACTGATTGCATCCGAACACGTAATCAGACTTCGACGAAACCTGAACAAGGTACATCAGATGACTAGGGATATACTCCAAACAAACCAGAGGTACCAGAAAGAATACTATGATAGGAAAGCACATGGATCACCAGTGGAGCCAGGAGACAAGGTGATGCTACTTAAGGAGGCACCACCTAAAGGGAAAGCTCTTAAATTCCATAAACGCTGGGAAGGACCATTCACTGTAGTAGAGGTACTAAGTGACTGCACCTGTAGGATTCAGGAACCGAATTCCTCTCATAGTCTAGTCACACACTTCAATAGACTAAAACCTTTTCGACAACAGGCCTTAGTTCAGACAAGTCCCGCAGGAACAGTCACCTAGCACTGCGGACAGTGCTCCTATGGGAGAGGGGGTAGTGTAAGGCATGGTAAGTTTGGCGGTTTTCTAATGTTCAAACCATGCTTGTCTACTTTCAGGTTGGCTGCGAAGTATGCAGGGATTGGTTACCCAAGACGAGGCAACGGATGACCAATAGGAGTGCCCTTCCCTCTTATCTAATTGTATTGCGATTGGTTGTAAATATAATACTTGACCTTGAGTCTTCGTTCTTACTAGCACGCAACACTTGTGTGATCACGCTGCTAACGTGCGCTTTGCTCTCTGTTTCAGATCATTGCTTGACGAGTGGGATCACAACGTGGATCGACCTTGACGCAGCATTGCTGTTTTTACTTATTGACTGCACAGTGGTTGTGCATTTGACGGCATTTAGCCACAGACACCTCACATTTTGAGAATATCCTGTATTTTGGACTTTAGGCGTCACTCTACGTGTGGTTAAATCTATAGTTTCGATTATCGTTTCGGATTTCTTTCGGGAGAAGTTCACAGTACTCAAAATTGGTCTTGTTGATCTATTTGGACAATTATCAATGCCGCGGTTACTCGTAATATGTCTGGAAAACTGGAAAACGCTGAAGAAAATCTGCGAGTCAATTTATCTTCACCGCAAGTTTCTTCTTTACCTGTTTCCTTACCTGTTTTTGATGATTTTAAACACACCCCTCATGTCAGCCTAGGTTTTGGTAATATTGCTATGGGAGGTAGTGTAGTAGTAGCCTCCGATGGTGATTCGGATGTTGCTACCGAATTAGAGATCCTAGAGCTTAAGGTCCAAGAGCTTAGACTTCGCAGCAAACAACGAAAATTGAAGAGCGAGTGCTCTCAACAAGTCAAGACTTTAGTCAGCTGCGTTCGATCTTGCGCCAATCCTTCGTAAAGCCAACCCCTAGACGGTAGCACCAACCATTGCACAAAGCAATCATCAGAGTCAGATTGTACTGCCACACCAGTCCAACCACTCCTGAACTCAGTTAGCCCCATTAGAATGCCTCAAGTTGAGATGGATAAGTTCGATGGTACACCAACTCAGTTCCTGAAGTTGATAAGATGCTTTAACATGTTCATAGGAGAACAGACTAATGATGACAACCTACGGTTAATGCATCTTATACACAGTTGTGATGGTACAGCCAAGGAGGCCACAGAGCATTGCATTCTACTGCCCTCTGAGGTAGGCTATAGGAAAGCCATGGGGATTTTACGAAGTCAATTTGGCCAACCCCATGCAGTTTCGGATGCCTTCCTCTCCGAATCACTGTCAGGCCCACAGCTGCAACCTGAAGATATAGTTGGGCTACAACGGTTGTTGAGACAGATGACCGATTGTGAGATAGCCTTATCTCAGATGAATCACATGGCAGACTTGGACTGCTCTACCAACCTTAAGTGCATTGTTCAACGTCTCCCCCGGCACCTACGATGGAAGTGGGCAGAATTGGTAAACGATGGTTTACAGTTTGCTGAACCTAGCTTTCGTTACCTCAAAGAATTCCTCGAAAGGCAACTGTCATTGGCTACAAGCTGTTACGGCCTGATAGCTAATGGGAATAGGAACAACAACGAAGTAGGGTCCAATGATAAAATGTCCAGAGCTATGCCTTCGCACAGTGTTAATGTCGTGAAGTCACGAGCCCAGAAGTCGTGCATAGTTTGCTTCACAGATCACGACTTATGGGAATATCAACGCTTTTTGTCGATGAGTCACAAAGAGAGACTAACAGTGTCAATGCGGCATAAGGTGTGCTTCAACTGTTTGAAACGTAACCACCGAGCTGACACTTGTCGTGCAGCAAGAGGTTGCGATATAGTAGGATGCACTAGACTTCATCATAAACTTCTACACAATGAAGATATTTCAGCATGCAAGACGGTTAACTACTCTAGCACGGAATCAAGAACTTCCTTTTTAGGATATGTGCCGATTCGTATCTTAGGTCCTAAAGGATTTCTAGATACATATGCCTTTCTTGACAATGGTTCAGATGCTACACTAGTGCTGAGTCATGTTGCCCGCCAAATAGGACTTGAAGTGGTTAACACATTGATGCAGGTAACATCTTTCTGTGGAACTACTTCTCAGAATTCATCTAAGGTTGATTTCGAAGTTGAATCCTTAACGGGAGATTACAAGACGAGGGTCGAGAATGCCTACACCGTGGAAAGCTTACCTGTAAAGAGACCTAAGACTCCTTCGAACGAACAGATGAAAAAATGGCCTCACCTGGCAGAAATCCCCCTTCTAGACGTCGAATGTAAGCAGGTCAGTCTACTAATTGGGACTAATGTACCTGAAGCACACTGGGTGCTGGAGCAGCGTATAGGGAAATCCAACCAACCGTTTGCATCTTTGTCAGTTTTTGGTTGGTATTTATTGGGCTCAGGAAACGAATATAAAGAAGCAACCTCTACCTTCTGCTTAGAGGAAAGTGAATCAGTAGAGAACAAGCCTTTGCGAATGATTGAAGCTGAATTTCAGGACAAGCACTCATGCGAAAGGTCCAGTTCTGAAATAGATAAAGGGGTTCTGAATGCAACCGAAAGAGAGATAAGATTGCGGAACGGATATTATGAAGTTCCATTGACTTGGAAACAGGACTAGCGTAAATTACCGCCTAATAGGTTGTCAATGGAGTTGAAGATTGAACGATCAATTCATGGTTGTTTGCTTAAAATCAACTTCCCCAATTTTCGCGGAGGCATCGGTCGCTGTTCAGAAAGAAGAGTGAAACATAGTCAGAAGTAATACAATGATTTATTGTAATATTTGTTCACAGACCTTAGTTCGCTTATTCCTTTTATATGTTGGTGTAACAATACAGAAATATCAAACGGCAGATCGGTGTTTTGGTTTTTTCGTCCGTTATAACTAAGCGTTTCTGAGAAATCTTCGAAGAACAGCGTGGGCCCGAGCGTAGCGAGAGCTGGGCATTAACGGTTTATGAGACGTGATTGACAGTTTCTGACGATGGAAACAGATCCGGGGGATTCAAACAGTTGGTGAAAGTTTGGATAGTCACCGTTCATCTCTCCTGGTGCCGGTCAAGTCCTCTTTGAACAAGCAATATCTGGAACGCTTTTGGAATTGGGTCAAGTTCAACAATGCCTGGGTCAAAGAAGGGACAGAGCGTCTTGGATGCAAACAGGAAAGTAAGTCATGGTGACTTGTCTGTTACTTGTAACGATGTGTCTGATGTTAAGCATGACATGGTTGATGTTACTGTTTCGCCGTTCAGGGATAATAGGAACATCAAACTCCCTAAATTTGAACCACGATGTTTTGATTGAAACCCGGCTGATTATTTACAATTTGTAAAGGAGTTTGAGATCATGTTGAGTGGTTTTTTATTAAATGATGAAATGAAGTTAATGTATTTGATGAGATATTGCACTGGAGATGCTGCAAGAGCTATACAGTGCTGTAAGTTGATGCCCCCTGAAGAAGGATACTCTGAGGCTATGAGTATACTGCGTAAAAGATTCGAAAGAACTTCGATGATTGTAAGGAAATTATTCGAGGCTGTTAAGGGTAATGGTGGTCAATTACAGGATGACTCCCAAGCACTCACTGAGTTTTTAGATAATTTGCTAATTTACATGAATGGAATGATTTCGATGAATCGAATGAGTGACCTCAACTCGAGTTTTATACTAGAAGTAATAGCAAGACGTCTACCTACTCGACTGCAAAGGAAGTGAGTGAAGATAAGCTCCCGTATGGAGGATGAGGGTATCGAGCCAAGGTTTGATGATATCCTGAAACTGGTAAAAAATAGTGTCAATCAATCTATGAGCAAGTTAGCCAGTATATTGAATCTCACCCCTAGAATAGAGCAGGCTGAGGGCAAAACGCAATCATTGATGACGAAAAGGCCTCAGAGAGGTGGATATCGAGAAGGCTCCATGATGTCTAGTAATGCATATAGACCTAGTGAGTGTAACAGGTTTCGTAGTACATCCTCAACAGATAAGTTACAAGATGCAAGACAAACACGGTTGTGTTTTACACGTTTGCAAGAGGTGCATACAAAGGTGAACTGTGAACCAGTGAGCAAGTTCAGTGATAAGCTCAATGTAAACTCCAGGCCTGACTCCGAATTGTGTGACGATAACGGTGCGGTCAAGAAGTCTGTAGTTGCAACTGGTAAGCCATTGTTGAATAGAGTGTCACAGAATAGAGTTACTGCTTCAGAGTGCAGTTCTGACTCCACAAGTTTACAAGGTATTACTAGTCAGAGTGAAGATATAAAACCTTTAAGGATTTGTGAGGAGGAACAAAAATTGTCTACTGCTGTTATTAAAGAGTTTGAAAATGATGAAATTGACGGTAAAAGGAATATTCGTGATAATGATCATGATAGTGCACATTTGTCTTTGGTTGATCATGATGAAATGGAGGGAATGCCTACTACTGCTAAGTTAAATAAAGGTTCTGTACAACTTGAACGTGAAGTAGAAATAAATGCAGGTGCAGTTGCAGAAGGCATGCATACTTGTGAGACCGTCAGTGTGATTGATCAGCATGTAGCCCACCTATCATCAGATGCTAGTGCTAAACCTGAGCTGATAGTAAAAGACAGCAGTGGTGGTGGTCTTGCAGGTAGACAAATTTCTGAAAGTCGAGCAACAACAGCTTTGATCCACCGCTAAGTTCATCAACTGATATCAATCAGTGGTCGTTGGTGTTGTCATCCACAATGAAACAGACGCCCATCAACTCAAGTATCTTGTGCAATGACTATGCTAGTATCAGTCCGTTTGAAAAGACAGAAGATATTGCTCAGTTTAGTGAGGATAAGCCAGGTTTAAACGAGGGAGTAATTGTTAAATTGACTTGCACAAATAAAGGCATTTCTAGTTTCAAGTTACTATTTGAATGCTATTATCCTTGGTGTAAATTACTCTGTTTCTACGCTTGGTTGACCAGATACTTCGTGTGTTTGTTCGTCATCTATATTCTACGATACAATGACATGAGCGTGTTGCCGTTCAGATTTGAGGATATAGCTGATAGAAGGAAGTCAGCAAATGAACTCTGCAACGATTTTCCAATCTAGAGCGTCAACCTGAGAAGGGTTGTAGGCGTACTGCTGTAAGTCCTACAATTCTTCAAAGGTTAACGCATCGATGAGCAGCACAACGTGCTCGGTGTGTGATTTCGTACATATGTTCATGTTGTATATACTAAATTGGTATCATCTCTCATCTATCTGTTGGTATCTTTGTTTGTGTCCGGACGACTTCCACTTGGATCATCAACCTGAGAAGGAATGTAGGCGTACTGCTGTAAGTCCTACAGTTCTTCAAGGGTAG